ACCAGGACCCTGCGATTGGAAGGTACTGAGCATCTTAACCACCAAGCTACAATTTCACATAATATCCAACCTGATTCAACATTATCTTAAGTACTTTTTAAATTAAATTTATGAAAGTTATTGTTTCAACATGTCTTTGCACAACTCCTACCACTATAAATTTACTTAGTTGAGTAGCAAGAGGAGGATCACAGCTGGATTTGAAAGCAATAATTTTTTTTGTAAGCGCTTACCTGTGCAGATTTCCTCTGTGTATAACCTTTAGGTAGAAACCCATCAAATCTATTAAATATATTTATAAGTGATTATATAAACACCCAAAAGGGTAGTTTTGTACATTGTTTTGGCAGATGTTGATAGAGTGTGTTGTCTATTCCCATTCTCTGCGCCATTACACCAACAGCTGCATTATGCAAGGGGAAACTGGTGCTGCGAGCTACTCCCTGGGATGAATGGGTGCACCTGATAAAATGACATTATATAATTAATTTTATTATTATTGTCATGGTATGAGTAAATTCGGTAGTTTTAGGCCAGATGCGAGTTTGTTTTGGTTTGGGAAAAGACCTGCTATTTGGTTGCCACACTTTTATTTAACCTTTCAAAGTGATAAATCATGTTAGTAATAAATCACAACTACAAAAGGAACCAAAAAGTGCATTATTAACATCGTAGTAATCATGTTGAATGTTGGTGAGTTGAATGGCCGAGCGGTTAGCAGGGACGCCGCAAGCTATAGCCATAATATCGGCGCTGGTTCGAACGGCTCGCTCGCCTATGGTTCTGGTGGTAGAACAAGTCTTCTCGGATAAGGACTATAAACCGTAGGCCTAGTGTATCTAATGGCTCGTGTGCACTATAAAGAACCCAGTACATCCTTCGAGACGAGTAGGGGGTTACCCCGGTGTACTGGAACAGACAGCCCCTGTGGTGGACGACGAGAGTTGCTGGTACCGGGTTACCGGGTAGCACAGACACGAAGGGACCCTTAGGGGCGAAGAAAGTCATTGGTCGAGTTCTTAGTCCACATTTCAAGCGCCCTGAGCATCTTACATTAGATGGATATGTGCGCTATATAAAACTACACTATTATTATTATTATTATGTTATACCACTTCACTGTTTATCAATACATTTATTTATTAATCACTATATTTTACCAACCATCTAGCATTGTGCGGGATGGTCCTGCATTTTAAAGTGATTCTGGATGAAATACACATTTTGCAGAAACACATGCATGATCATAAATTTGTCAAGTCTGTGCATGATAACGAATTATCACGAATTCGGGGTAAAATGTATTTAAAATTAGAAGAAATTGGTTTTATGAAAACTACAAAAATGGTCATACAGTAAATTGAGTCATTAGAGAGCTTTCGTTATCTCATTTGAGAATCAATTCAACAAGAATCGTCGGAGCACCAGGGGATTTTCCTCCTGTACCATGCCCCTAGGACCATACACCCTCCTGGGACCACATCCTGGGGCCCCGCCCCCAATCAAGTGTTGTAGTTACTCACGCATTTCAAATATCTCAGGTTGGTAACTATGAACCAGAGAGGGTGGTCAAATCGGTCAACAAGACTGGTCTCCTTTGGGGACTGGAAATTAAAAGTTAAAAGACATACATCAAAGTAAAAAAGCAATACAGTATGAAATACAATTACAACAACTAAAGATCTATATTGATGCCTTAACGCTACTTACAGCATCATTCAGGCATTGAGATTCACACCCAGAAGCCCACCCTACCAGCTATCTTCAGTGACCTGCTGTTACGTGACTGTTCAACCATAGAATGGTCACAGAACCAGTAAGGTAGTTCCCTGTTGTGATAACAGCGAAAGCTCGGACTCAGACAACAAAGACTCTGAAAGGTAACATTTTCACTGATTAACCAATTAATGTGACCACTTATCACTATAAATCTACTATTAATTCATATAACTAAATAATTTTAGTTTGATATGTATAAGATTAATTAAAATCAACAATAATGGTACAACTGAATCAACTTTTCTCTTCGAAAGTATGTATGGGCAGACAAAGCCTTTGGGTGTAGGAACTTGTTCCTCTTTGTTCTGACCCCCTCTTTTTTATTTTTGATGTTTTTGTAAATTTAGGAGGAAATGTAGATATTATAGTTCTTTAATAATTCAAAAATATAATGTAGTGTATTCTATCATAACAACATCAAAGCGAAAAACGAAGCTGTAATAAAATAAATGCAATATTAACGCTGTTTCTATGTTTTGTTACACATGAAAACTGTAGAACAGTAATAAAAATATATTATTACAAGGAACAAGCATGGCGCAGTACATAACATTCTACTTTGGAATGTCATTCCATTGTTCTTTCTCGTTACTTTTGTCTTGATATTGTTTTTATACCTTGTATTTTGTTACTTTACATGGCCTTGCACAGCCTTCATGAAAAACACCCTTGGGTGAATCAAGTGTATTTCTGTTAAAAAAATGTATTATTTTGATATTATTACAAGGGAACATCATTACTATATCATTGTAAAATGCCAGTTTAGATAAATTACCTATATATCAAGAAGCAAGTAGATATGTAACTATAAACTTAATACGAAAATAGTATAGATATTTGGCCATGTGGTCAGCAAATCACCAGATGCAAGTAAAAAAATTCTTCATCCATTTTATTTATTTTTTCTTTTATAAGACTTATAAAGCGCACATATCCATTTCCTAAGAACTGCTCAAATCGCTTTTTTCACTATGGAAGCACAATGTGCAACCGCCTCCACTCCCTGGGGAGTATACCTAGTTACCTTTGTGGTCCAGCACCACTAATATCATCCCAAATCATTCAGAAGCATGGTGTTGAGTATCGGTCTTGAACCCACGACCTTTTGATTGAAAGCCCAATGCCTTAAGTCGGGCACTCACTGCGCTAGACGTTCGTCAGCTGACGCCATTCCGTGGTGAACGCTATAGCACGATGCTCGCACAAGGATTATTTTAAATGAGGATCTATTCAGACTGCCACCCACAATCAGTAAACGGCTTCACGTCGTCTAGCGCTTACTGGGAACAGAGTTGGATTCGCCTGCCAGTGGTTGTACGATGCAGTACATGCTCTGCTTTATACACGCTGCACCATGCAGATAGACTCATGGCTTACTTTGGAAATGAATATTGTGCAAAAAGTAAGGCAAATAATAAAATTGTGAATGACGTTATAACACCATTGGGTTAAATTGAAATACTGCAGCGACTAACTTACTCGTGTGTTCGGTAATCTTTTTTCAATTGTTTGTTTTGGTTTTGCGAAAACAGCTCAAGTAACTTTCTGCCTAAGGCTAATAAAGTGTCACCCAATGATTACCAGCCAGTCATGAAATTTGAAGGAATAATTTATATGAAATATATGTTCAGTAAGAATGATGGCATGCTTTATGACCCCATGTGGGAGGGGGTTGGAAAGATATGTTATTTGCACAGTATCATTGAACACTTTGAAATACCAAAGGTGTACTTCCTGTTACATCCGTTACTTTATGAGAAAATTATTCAGCTGCAAATTATGGTGAAAAATTTGATTAACGTGAATGTTTACTGTGTATGAAATTAACATGTTCATTTTTTCTTAAATAAGAAAGCCAAATTGATTAAAATTGAAGATGTAAAGTCATGAACATCCATGGTTAACAGAGAGCCTCTCAGGGATGTGTTTTATTCATTTATTTTCCACCTGGTTTACAAGTGATTGATTAAAGTATACTGATGATTTGGCAATTTGTGTGTTTATCAAAGATGGTACTAATGAGTATATAGATGAAATTAATAGATCTGTCAAGATGGTTATGTTGTGTCTGAAGGAAAAAAAGTTAAATTTACTTCAGACAAACACTGCTAATGCATAAGCTTGCTGCACACATCTGTAATGATTAATCTCACTTATAGTGAATGTGATTCAATATTTTTGATCAGTTGATATTAAACAAAACCCAAGGAGATCATGAATAAGACTCTTAGGTCTAGTCAGTGGCGGCTGTAGGATATATTTTCTGGGGGGATAAGTTGTCCAACGTGGGGTGGGGGGCAGAGTGAGGTCAGTGGCGTAACGCCTATGCGCTCTCGTGCAGCATTCCGCAGAACCCCTTCCCATAGGGGCCCTGGAACTGCCCCACCCATATGGTCCTCACTCTATCACCCTGACCAAAAAGGGTTTTGTTGTTACATAACAGCATAATGTGTCTCTGACATCGATTGTGGGCGCCCTGCCAGCCTGGGCTTGACTAGATTTGTCAGTTTAAAAAATATGGAGATAAAAAGAAAATTGTATTCACAATTTTAAGACTGAGAGTGGCATTTCCAACCATCCAGAGGTGCCACAATTATAGTTTGTTTTTTTTACCTCACTCCCAACCATGGTGAGGCTAAGGTGGTACAGACCTTCCACCTCTAAAAGTTCCTCCCTGGTCCCCCCGCTATTTCAAATTTCATCTGCCACTGATATATCTTCAGGCACTCCTTGAATCCACCACTGGTGCTAATCAATGTTTAAGAATATAAGATGAAATTAGTAAGATGGAGTTAAAGCCAAAAGATTCCACCGCCACCCCCTTCCAAATTAGGAAAAGAAAAAAGAAATTGAGATGAAATAAATTAGAGAAAAAAGAAGAATTGAACAGTTGTGCTGGTCTGCTTTAAAACATGCAATTTACACATTTAGTAGTCAACAGGTAGACATTGAACTTTTAGGGAGCATTTAATGATCTATTCTTACATTAAAATATTTTATTTGTTCAATCTGCAAGTGTTCCTTAAAGTTTACCCTCTCTTTGCTGTACCACCTCCTGCACATTATTTTATTGATCCAGGCCCTTTATCATGCACAGCATATGTATGTTTTTCTTTTATAAATTTTACACAATTTAGCCACCGGCTACAAAGAAATTCTTTGAATAAATCCTTGAATGAACACCTTTGCACATAATTGGAATCTTTATTTCTTTATAATAGACATCCAATGATGTTCACCGCTTACTTCTTGGCTGAAAGCGACCAGGAATTTAGCGTCACACCACAAACTGGTGAGCTACAGGCGCTGGGAACAAAGGGAACTTTGATCCAGTTAACCTTCATTCCCAAGATATATGGCAAAAAATATCGAGCAAAGCTGGTTGTACAGGTGAGGTGCTTTTACTATTGTATTTCTATCGTCATAAATAAATCATCTTAGCCACCATTTTTATCAACACCGGCAGCATTAGCATCATTGTTACCATCATCATCATTAGAATCATAATTATTATCATCATCACTATCATCTATATAATTTATTATATAATATATAAAATATTATATATTATATAAAATATTATATATTATATAAAATAATATATAAATATATAACGAAAAAACCAATGCCTATTTTCGTTGGCCATTTATTGAACACTTGGCGTTTGTTCACTTATTATTTAGCAAATGTCCTTGATGTGTCTGACCATTTTTCATGGTCTGACTAATGAGGCCATTTGCTTTTTCAATGGAATTTTAATTATACCGTAAATCACATAGCCTAAAACCTAACCCTATAACCCTATAAAGGCTTGCAGTGTTCATTCAGTAGTACATTTGATCATTGAGAAAGTTAAAATTAGAAAAACAAACTGCATCTTCTTTAACTTTTATAAAAAACTTTATATTCTTATTTCAAGAATTGTTTCAAGAAAATTTGATATTTAGAAATATAAATAGTGAACTGTGGTCGCTAAATAAATCGTTTGATAATAAAGTAGATTGTCTTGTATCCAAAGAGGTTTACTAAGACGAGTTTTAAAATAACGAACATTGAACTCTATAAAAGGACCGTTGACAAGAAATGGTCGACAAAAGTTATGAAAAGGCGCATGAAATGGTTAGGGCATTTAGTACGTCCGATTACCAGACGATCATACATCTGTCAAACGAGCTTTTCATGAAGACCACCGGAAAGTCGAAAGTACCAGAGGAAGACCAAAATCCACGTTTATACAAACAATAAATAAGGTCTTGAATCAACTTAAACACAGCTGAAAAACGAGACGTGAAGGAGTTGGCCACTGATAGGAAGAGATGGAATCTGATAATAGAGGCACGTTAACTAACGTCGTCTATGCAAACAGATGATGATATTGATAATGACATTCATAATACAAAATGAATAATTATAAATGTAATATCCTCATTTTCCGCATGAGCCTTGTCAATCTTTATAGTCATTAGGCCTATATCAAAAACATTTTACAAATTACATACACTACAATAATGGAAAACAGAATAGAACAGGATGATATACAAAGCACAACATAAAGGCCAAAAGGTCTGTCATTGTTGTAACCCCTTTTGGCAACAAAAATAATAGTATATCATTATCGGCCTATACATTAATTACTTCCTTACAAAAAATTGGTATAGTAGGAGGTTATTTTTCACCCCTGCTTTTGAAGATTGGCAGTCTTAATTTTTTTTTGCTGGAGTGGACACACGTTGACTACTCTGAGCCTAGTGTATAACATGTGGCTAATGGGCTTATACCACCTTAACTTTCAGTCTGCGGGGTTCAGTCGTGGCATGATCCAGTGTTCTTCTCATGACTAAAAATCATTATGAACAAATGTATCAATAGATGATGATTTTTTAATTAATTGACTCGGGAGGTATAGGAATGTGTTGACGGCGGTATGTTCTAATAGAGTTATAGTTTTAAGAACTTTAAAGTATTTTACTTAATAAATAAAAATAAACATTTTCGTACTCATGTGTAGTTGTGTTAAGTCTGATGTGCAATACGGTAATAAATTAAACAAGACAATCTCCTAGTTAGCAAGCCTCGTCTGTGTTTAACTAAATATTTAATTATTTGTTTATTAACTGTGGGGTGAATGTAAATTATATAGGCCAGTATCCTCAATCTGAGTAGCACTCGTGGAGAACAGAGAATAGTGATGTTTTATAGTTAATCATTAAAACAGTTTAAAACTTTTAATAATAAAATGTTTTTTTTTTTTTTAATTGAAATTACTGTAAAAATGCTACATTGAAAACCAGAATTAACTGAATTAATTTAGGCAATGAAAAATAAACAACACGCAAAATACGAGATTACCAATTAGAATCAATTTATTCAAAATACTATACAGAAATTTAAACTTTATGATATTTATCGGAAATAAACTGAATTTGTCAATACTGTACTTCATTTTATTTAAAAATATATAAAAGTAAATCAAATTATAATATACCGATTTCCGTAAGTAGCTGAAATACAGAGTGTAACTTGCCAAATGAGCAATTGACATTTTTCACACCTAGTAATTTTTTTGTTTTTGTAACCATCACTGTTTAAAAAAAAATTTAAAAACATACAACAAACGTAACAGTATTCCTTATTTATTCATTTACTTTGGTCGAGCAAGGAGGTATCGCCTTTGGAACGGCGGCACACACAAGAGTTTTGTTTTCAACTTTAATTATATAATTATCAATTTTAACTAAATTTGAAGCACACATCTACACAATCACTGACATAATGTGTAGATATAAAGAGATTAAACTGTTTGTAAGGAGTCGCTCCCAAATATCATCTGTATGTTTGTGAAAATGTTTGCATTTTCTAAACGACCCTTAAAAAATACAAGCAAATTCAAGTTCCTGTACTACAACTAATCAACAATAATAAAAATTTTTTAAAATTGTTAATTGTATTACTATATTATGCTTTGTTGACAAAATTTACTTTTGTTGGCGTAGCATACAGTTTTATCATGGCGGTGGTTTTATCGATTCTCATATAAAACGAACACTGTTTATTACTAGACTTCCAAAAATTACGAACAAGGAGGTTTCCCTGGTACTCTTTGGTCTTTAATCTGTCTTTCCAAAGATTCTTACTTATTCCAAAGATTCTTATTTAACTATAAAAGTTAAATATAAAAAAGTTAATTACACAACTGCAACCACAGCTGATTTTTTCTAGAAACATTATCATGGATTTTCCCACGCAACTCGAAATAAATAAACCGTAACAGAGTTTTCATTATCATAGTAATTACAGCATAGTCACTATATCTTTTTTATCGTATTATTAATACAACTGATTATATTCCTATTATTAAGTTGGGAGATCGGTTCTTTTTTATAGAGTTCAATGTTCGTTATGGCCGATGAATATATAAAAAATCGTTTTAGTAAACCTCTTTGGAAACAATCTACTTTATTATCGAACGATTTGCGAACGATTTATTTAGCGACCACAGTTCACTATTTATAGAGAAACATGAATGTGTGTATACATTATAAATGTATTATGAATTTAATTCCTGACCTGTATATACGAATATATAACTTAACATTTGTGGTAACGGTAAGAAGGAAGATTATTGAAAAATATCAAATTTTCTGAAAACAATTCTTGAATAAGAATATATTTTTTTTATATAAAAGTTAAAGAAAAATGTTTTTTTTTCCTATTTTTTACTTTCCCTATGATCAAATGTACTACTGAATGAACACTGCAAGCCTTTATAGGGTTATGTAAACAGTTTGTTTTGAGGTTTTAGGCTATGTGATTTACGGTATAATTAAAATTCCATTGAAAAAGCAAATGACCTCATTAGTCAG